ATTTATAAAGATATTGAACAATAGCTAGTTTTTCTCATATATTTATGAGGTTTCAATTATTCTTCATATTCCATTTTCCTATTTTTATAAACATATCTATTTTAAAATCTGTTGAAAAATGAACTTTTCTGGATACATTGAATTCGGAAAAGTAAAAGAATGTTAGTTTCTCACAAAATAAATGCAAAAAAATATGTAAGAAATAAAGTAATCAAATGTATTTAGGACATTTGAGCATAAATAAGTAAAAATATATTCTATAGAAAACAAAATATTTTTCTTTATAATAATACTGAAATTTCATCATATCAAATTTTCAAAATATATATAAAGAATCTGTCATTGACGAATAGAAGATAAAAACTCGTGGCTTAGAAAAGTAGAGGAAAACATGCCGTTTAATACATTTTATCTTGAATCGTAATTTAATAAAAATGGCCTCTTCATTTTGACAATATAATTGCATCATTTCTCTCATGGGAATTGATAATTCACTTTAATCACTGTAAGTCGTGCTTTCCGACATACATAACGACTAGTAATTGAGGACGCAGCGACAACATTCATTATGGATGGTAGTGAGTACAGAACTACATAATCCAATTCCAATAAAATGTATTTTGCCATTAAGTGATCAATATAATTAAAATAGAGAAAAAACGGATTTCATTAAGAACGTCTAAACGACACAATTGAAACCTTTGCAGGATCGGTTGATTTACCTTATTCACGGACGATACTGGAAAGTGCAACAACGCCCCCCATCCCCTAGCTCGGGCTTAAACAGATTTCAACATTTAATCATTGTAAATTGAAGCTCGGGCTTAAGCAGATTTTAACATTTAATCATTGTAAATTTAAAGTAAAAATTCGAATTTAGAAACATCCGCAGATGTGTTCATACTGCCGTTATTATGAAATCTGTAGCGAGGCACGTTAGTGCATTCCTTAAAAAGCTGCGTTTGGTCCGCATTTAAAAGAATGCTTGTGCCTTAAACGAGGTAAATCACTCACTTCAACACAGTACCAAATTAAAATTTATTTAGAACATTTGCACTGTCAAAGTATGAATGTTTAAACAGATTTCAAAGAAGGAGTACAGGTCTGTCGTTTCTTCAATGAAATATTCAAAACAAAAAATGAAAATGTCTCTGTGTCTCCGTTTTAACAATAGGAGCACATTGCCGAACCGTCTCATGCCAATGGCAAGCGTGCCTGTGGCGGCCTTATTTCCTGGTCGATCGCCATTTTCCTTACAGTTCTTGTTCATGTTTATCAATTTCCAGTTAAATTGAGAGCAGGTCAGCGGTGTTTCCAAACATCATAAAATGTGCTAGCTTGTTATAATTGATAGATCTACGCAACGTTAACAGTTCAATGTTGTTCATTCATATTTTTATGAAATATACTCGAATCATGGAAGGCACTTCTGTCATGTCTATATAACACCTTAACCTTTTTGTGACAATTTTGAAATACAAGTGCATTCGAAGCGTAAATGAAACAACGCCACAGTGACCGCCGTTACCAAAAGCACATCGCCACCTTATCACTAGGGCACACCAGCCACTCGAAAACAAGATAATAAACAGAACTATATGTGCTGTCAATCTAAAATGCTAATTCAATTTTGCTGAAACAATACTTAATATATATGACGTAAAACTCTCTTAATTCTATACATTATCGGTTACCAAAGACGATAAAACAAATATTGTCACAAATAATAAATGCCAAACATAAGCGTTACTGTTAATTTCTGTCGACGTAGGGTTTTAATTAAATAACGAAATAAATCCCAGGGGATCGTATCCTTTATCCTCCACGCTGATTGATCACTTACTTACGTACTAAGTCTTAGCCCATTTTACTTACTCCTGTAAAAGCGTGATAGAAGACAAGCCTAATGCTTGTCTGGGAATAATAATTGGCTTTACTCAGAAACATTTAAAAATAAAAAGATGTCAGTCATATAAGTAAGAAAAAATAATTTCTTAAAGAATATTTTCTAAGGAGAAGGGGACTTTTAATTATATATATCAGAAAGCTTAATTAGAACTACTTCCGATTTCAGTCTGACACTTGCATAGTCTCAGTTGCTCTCACGGGAATACTTTTCGTCTGCCCCAAAAGCTTCACAAATTTATAAAGTGGCAATTCTCTTTTGTGACAGTCACTGATGTCTTTTCTTAAATCTATTAGCAATTAAGTAGTAAGTTCAGATATCCATTTATTTCTTGTCAGTGTGAAACCTACACAGATTGACAAAAAATAAGAAAATGCATTATAAGAATCACTAAATGTTCAGTGTCTGAGATACAGGCTGTCATACACTTGTCATATTTAATTGGGCAATACTATTTGTATCCAGGAGTCATCTCTGTCACTTAAACTGAAACACATTGACTGTACTTTCTAATATAAGCCTACATTAAATAAAATTACAAAAAAACCGACAAATAATTCTTTAAAACATTGTGCATCATTTAAGAACGAGATTACTTTATATGATTATAAATGCTGCTTCAGCCGTATAAGGAACTTAAATTTGAAGAAAGATCGACCTTTTTTATTATTATAATTATCGTTTATCATAAATTTAAAAATGGTAATTAGGGATTGGTGCAGGTACTTCATTGAAGGATTTAAATACCAATACGTAACTTGACCATGTTAGTTTCTTCGCAACTTTTGTCAGTTGATTGTTCTGTTCCACAATAAAAGTTTAATTGAAACCTACATAATAAAAGGTTCTGCAAAACTATTGAAATGCATGAATTGTGTAGTTGTTGAATAATCAACTTTATTAAATTAAGTATCAGCAACTTCATCTAGAAATGAAAACATAATGAACTGAAAAATAATATCTATGTTATAATTAAATCAGTTAGTTGCTTGTTAATAAAGTAAATACAGAAAGATTACAAAGTGCTTTATAATGTCAAAGTATTATTCATTTTCAAAACAAATACAAATGCACAAATGGCTTTGTAAAATTAAGTGATCAGATAAAAGGAGGCTTAACTGAAAAATAAAGTAACATTTTCTGGATAATCTTATTCTGCTAACATTACATTCTTATCAATGAAGAAGATAAAGAATCGTTGTTAAATTAGACCATGTCAATGGTCCATCGGTCCTTGGTGAATTTATTGAAGTAACGTAAGCTTCCGATCCATTGCGTGCATATGCTTAATGTTGTAAGGAATGGCATTTAATAAGTGAGTTCTTAGTATTTTTCTCTTTTGAAATAAGGTCAAACGCGAATCAAACGCCAACGTAGAGTACCATACACAGAAACTTTTAGGTTAAATGTATTCGTTAATGATTTAAGGAAAGATAATTGTAACATATCACAGTAAATAAACATATAACATTCAAGAATGGGTAAATACTTTAAAACAAAATGAATAAGAAGTATCTTTAAAAAAAGATTCTCGGCCGAAGTAAAACTTGTTAACTTGCTTATGTTAGTTCTAAGTTGTCCATACATATAGAAATGTTTGCATGGTTTGCATAACAATGAAATAATGTTTTATGTTGGGTTATTATTCTAGAAAAATGGAACTCTGTAAGTGTTCCTAAATGAAACTGTCGTGTTACGATAAGTGAACTCAGTTTATAACACCAACATCTACACAGTCGGTCGGTAATTAAGTTTATAAATACTGGAGCAATATGCAAACTTATATGAACATTATAAACATTATATTAATTGAACACAACACTAATCATATAATATATTAGACACTTACTGAACGTCATAAACTGATGGTACCTGATAGGTTCGGATATCATTCTCGTTATTTTGGACACACTTTATAACTCAGTAAGATCTTGTGTAAAATAAACCTCGATAAGTTCTTATGTTAAATAAATGTTCATTTAAAAATGCAATGCGATCTAAACGCACTGTTAATATTTTGCAGGATACAGTATGGTTAAACAGAAGATAAATATCTGATCAGTTTAACGAGAACGTTAAAGAAGTATCCTGTTCATTTTATTATAGAACTACCCTTTACATTTTATATTACAATGACAAGAACTATCATTTACATTTCACTAGAATGACAAGAACTATCCTTTTCATTTTATTTTAGAATGGCCTATGATATTCCCAGATTACATTTTGTTATTCTAAATAACCATATATTCTGTTCTTCTCTGTAAATTTTACCGGAAGTCAAACTGTCTTAGACGGTATTCTGCCAAAAAAATAAATACGATTGCCACAGGTTATATTTGAAAATGAATGACAACTTTATGTGTGAACAAACAAGAAGATATCTATTTACAGAAAAGAACAGGAAGCTTTCATCATGGATAATCATATATTTTGAGTTTGAAATCATCTTTACATTTTTGTTGAGAACTAGCTTTGAATAATGAGATATGGTCGTAAATTTATATTTGTCGATAATTTTTCATTCATGTTTATTTATAAAGGACATGTATGTGACACTTTTTACTTCAACAAAAAACATTTTCTGTGAATGTTATCCATTAATGTAGTGAATGATGGGCAAAAAGCAGTATGCCATCATACGATTGGACGAACAAACCTTTAAAGTTGTTTACGATAATTTGTAAATGTCGTTCACCCTTCCCTTATTATAAAGCCGTAGTACTTATGAAAAGACTTAATGTTAACAGTGTATTCACTATTTTCCTATGTCCTGTTTTTTTGACCAAACTGTTTTAGGACAGATGTAAAGTCACACCGACAATACAAATATCATGTCCCCACTTTCTAGCTTTACTGGAGGAAGCGGAGACTTCGTGTGCCCTTTTAGGATCGTGCTGGCACCTGAGTAGAGACATTGCCCTTTCATTAGGTAGCTGCATAGCTTTCTTATATAAAATAACTTAAAGTCTAAGTAGAAATTTGAACCCATAACGATAATGAGGACCAGTCTTATTAACTCACATGGAGACAAATATTGTGGCCTTACTTCTCTTATTTCAACAGGAAGATAAGTAAAAAAAAAACAACTTACCACAGTTTATCTCATCTTCACCATCATAGCAGTCAGGTTGTCTGTCACATCTCTTGATTATGTCAATACAAGAGCTTTTGTTACATTGAAATTCGTTTGGCAAACAACCTACAAAATGTGCGGAGAAAACATACGGTAAAATTAATCAATATTCTGCAAAAAAGCAAATGCGTTTTTCCAAAGAAAACAAAGAAAAAAATACTACAGATTCCAGTTGCAACAGAAAAGTATCACAACATTTTCCTAGGTCATGACACAAGATTTAGAATAAAATCAATATATTTACATAATGCAAAAGCATTAACAGCAATCATCCGTTACAAATTATGACATCATCATCCGATTCTTGTGTTTTATGTTAAGTAATGGTTATAGTGTATGGAATATTTAAAACGATTCAAAATGTACATACCACAAACGGATACACTTTCATCTGCGCCGTTTGTGCATTCACTGATACCATTGCAAGTGAGTTTTTCTGACACACACTCCAACGGCTGTTTCGAACAGATAAACATGTCCTCTGAGGTGCATGACCCATCGCTGATTTTGACCGTCACATTATTTCCGCCAACACAAGCAACTGTAATAAAAAAAATAATGTTAACATGATAGTGTAAGGTATGGGTATCAATAGATAGCTGCTGCGCAAATGTGTTTTTGTTAAATAAGGAAATGTATGATGTATTTAAGCAAACATGGACATGCAACAAGACAGCGCCTAGTTAAATGTTGACATACAAGTATATAAGAGACTGCATTGAAAACGTATAAAAACAACAGCATGTATATATTAACGCTAAGATACATCTTTTGTTGCATGAATGCAAAAGCTACTATTGTCTGTAACACTGTGACTTTCTGAGATACCAGAATGTTATTTTGCGGCTATTGTGTGCGTTTAGTCTATACAAAAGAGGGTACTTGTTCTAAACACAATAATGTCTTAACTTGTTCCACTTAGTCTGACGGATAATCCATTTATGGATAATTTAAGTTAATGGATAACTAAAGTTGGTCGTAATAAATCAAATGTAAGATTATGGTCAGAATTAAAGCATCTTCGAAGACATCAAAATATGTCAAAGGATTTGACATTCATCCACTAATGATAAATTTTCATTTGCATTCGTCATGACCAATCAAAATAACTTTAAGATCTGTAACGTCATTAACATAGATATTTTTTTAGAAACTAACTACATTCCCTTGTCATAAATGTATGTAGATATGAGAGGATTGAGGGTGCTACCGCCACACGTTACAAAGATTTCATTTATCATATCATTTTGCTTTATTATCAACTTGTTTTTCCCTTGTCATAGGTATGAGGTGATTTAGGGCACATTACAAATATTTCATTAATCATATCAGTTTATTTATCAACATATGCATTTATGCAGAGGAACAGGTAGTTCATACATATAAAAATATCATTTAATATAGTAGAGTTTTGTATGTATTAATTAATACTAATTTTTAACATAAAGCAGTCGCTGCCTTAAAAGTCGCTTTTTTAAATAATATAATTTAAGCTCTTTATGAATCGTTAGTTAATGATAATCTGAACCATTGACTAATTCATTTTAATGTTTACTCTTGTCTTTATTTTATATGTAACAATCATTGCAATGGCTTATTGAAACCTTCTGACTAATTGTTCTATATTTTGCAGAATGCCTTTTCCTTCTTGCATAAATCAAGTTTATAGTTCTTAATCTCTTCATACATGTTTAATGTATTTTTACTTGCTTCTTTTGTACTACCGTATGCCTTTATATAAGCGTTAATCTCATTATCGAACAAAACAAACATTATGCATGCTCTACATAACAGGACCATTTCATGCGCAAAATGTATCTGATACCATATTCTATGATCATGCAAATACATGTAATCAAATAATGGCAAAATCAAATGCATCGTTCACGCGTTCTTACACCGGATTGAGCAGCGTTATTAATAATAAACGATAATGTAGATCCGCAAATATTACACCACTGTTTTTCTCTTACGAAAACACCTATTTTCAAGGTTCAAGTTACCCAATATATATATTAAGCAGACCATTGAAAGAAAATGTTTCTTCAATTGCACTCATTTATTTATGTAATCGCCCTGTTATGTCATATGAACTTGTTTTTATATTTATGTTGTCAGTTGCCCCAGACTAATTGCTACATTACGCTACATTATGTCTGTAAAAACTAGACAAGATAACAAGGAGATGATATCTACAGAAAATATCAACTCATGGTCGATGGTCGGGAATTCAACACACATTTCAACGTCATCGTTTTAAAGATATATATTATGCTCAAATTTGATATTTGAAAATACTGCTAATTACTATACTGTCTCCTTTTGAAATGCAAAATAAACATCTTTAGCATGCACACAGACAAAATATGGATTTACAAGATTTTAATGCCCGTTCGTGCAAGAAATAAGGCAAGGAGGGGCAACTGAGGTCTTCCTCCACCAGTAAAGTTGGAACTTCGCAAAATGACCTCTACTGTGTCGGTGTGAAGTAAAACCCAATCAAACAAGATAAGTTGGAACTTCGCCAAATGACCTATACTGTGTCGGTGTGAAGTAAAACCCAATCAAACAAGACTTAAATAAATGTCCACAATAACAGAATTTTAAACAATAATGAGCATAGAATATCTTTAAATTTGAATTAAAAGTGAAATTACATACCACTGAATGTAGCAAATTTTAAAAAATAGATTAACAAAAATTCTATTTTATTATCAATTTTATTATTGAATCCAAGTGTCGGTAAGAGAACGACATGCATACCCGTTTTATAAATGCAAAAAGGCCAAATAAATATACGGAATTACATCGCATATGACTGTTTATTAAACATTGCACATGAGGTTTCATGCTTATAAATTGTCATGTTTTCTGTTATATTTGCAAAAGAAAACCACAAATACATCACTTACATTGCAAACATTGAATTTAAATTTCTTGATCATTATAGAAGAATAAACTTTATTTTAACAATATAGGATACTAAGCACTTAACGTGTTTCAAATGATTATCACAAAAAATATAACAAGAGATAACTTTGCAATTGTAATTTAATGTAATTGATTATTTGATTGATATACGTTTTCTGTACCAATAAAAACAAATGAAAATCTTAGTGCATTCTCTATTTTCGAGCGTGTTCAAATATTGTCAAAGCACTGAAATACTTTTGGAACCATTGAATCATGAGAGCCTCAATAACTTTAATTGAGCCAATGAGCTGCTAAAAACACTTTTACTTAAGCATCGCTGTCAACTTTTCAGCGATGTAAAAATTGTTAAAAAAAACCAACAGCAGTCCAAAGGAATAGTGCCTCGTTTTCGATATGCTTTTCCTGATAAAGTGAGTTCAATAAATGTAGTATTTGCTTGCCATAATCATAACAATTTTATTTCCAAAATTTTTATTGCAATATTTGCCATAAATATTAATTACATTAACAAAAAGATACTGAAACGAAGTGTTTCTTTTATCTTTTTTTTGAGAACATTTAAAATAATCCCGCTTATTTTAAACAAAGATAAATACATGCAATAAAATGATTAACTTAATGCACATACTAGAACAGACAGCAGGTTGAAGGAGGATTAGTTCGTTCAACGGGGTTTAAAATGAGTTTACTGAAAAGGATTAGCCTAAGACGTTTGATACTTTAATAACGTAAACATTCAGTTGGACGTATGCAAATTGGTTATTGTTGTAATACTTATTTTCGACCCAGCAAACTGACGAATGTCTCAGCAATGTCAAAATACCGCAACACGTACCAAAAGCCTTGAAAATTCAAAAATATTTGGGAGAAATCTAATTAAGAATACTATTTGCAGGAAACAAGACCTAGAATGAGTTTGACATGACTAAATTAATATAGTTATGCTATATTTCCACCATGATTGTATTCACTTGGGTTGTTTTTATGTGTGTCAAATTCTCCATTTTTCATATATGAGATTATTCCTTGTTACTTGATTCCCTTAACAGATAGTTATTGAAATCTACTTCATCATTCAGTTAGGAAAAGAAACTTCTGATCTTATAAAATGTAATACTCTGGATAAATGATTAAATTGAAAGATTCAACGTTATCTAATATATGCTAATTCCCAATCAAAGTGACTAAAACAACATAAATCAAATCAGTGGTTTAATGAACAGTAAATAAAATTAAATTTGTAGCAACAGATTAATGTCATGTTTTGATAACTTCTTTAAAAAGATATTATCAGAATGTGTTTTTACGAATTTTCCTTACTAACATCAAAATAAAAAGAAAATGAATAATGATCGTATAACACGACAAGATTGCAAAGAAATTAAACGTTTCAGACCCACTGAGTTGAGAATTTATATTAAAATCCCACACTACATGTGTTATTTGTGGCAAAAAAATATTATCATTTAGTTGCTTCTTTATGTTAATTAGCTTATATTGTAATCTACGCAAATAAAGGCACTTTTTGGCTTCCGTAGATTCAAAGTTAATTTACCAAATTTGATTTAAGTCCCAACATAGCAATGTATTATACATGAGATCATTGATTGAGCTCAATGGCAAATTTTGATAACAGCTACGTCCATTTCAAAATGTTAACAAAGTTGTTCGTGTGAATTCTACAGAACTGAACATTTGACTTTTTACTTACGATGCCATATCATCCGAGACGTAAGATATTCAAGAAATGAAAGTGAGACAATTAATATTGAGTATATAACGCACATCTTGTGAATAGCTTCATATTACTATTTTAATTAACCGATTAATTAGGGTTTCCAAAACTTTTAGTATATAAACCTTTTTGATGATGAATTGGTCAAAAAATGTCTGGAATTCCACAATTGGCATATTGTTCAACACCACCCTTAACCAGTTTTCAGATTTGCAAATTGAATAAATTTAAAATATCACAAAAACAATTATGCGTTGACCCCCTTTTAGTATTTAATAGAGCGAATCATTTGATGGCACATCGTAATTAACTGATTGTTTTTCTATATAGCCTGATCTACATAATTATATATACACTGGTCGAAAGCCTCTGGGAATAAATCTCAACAATGAAAGAAACATTTAGGGTGATTCTTTTGTTGCTAATTAGGTGTTGAGTGTTTTTATTGTTTTCATTTTTTAAGGTAACATGATTAATGTTTATTGCGCGGGAAACATTAGTACGAAATTTCTACAAATATAGTCTGCGTTTATAATAATATTACAATAAAGGCATTACAATAAAGTCATTCATACAGTTTTTAAATTACCAATCAAAAGAGTATCACATAGCAATTACAATTGCAATAGGTAATTTTACGAAATTTAAATAAAATCGAATTTTCTATCGTGTTGACAAGCTTCGATTTGCACAATGGAAAACATATCAAAGGGCTTTAACGATTTCTGCAAATATGTATGTTATTATTTATATCAATATGTTTTTCGGACATGTTTTTGTGTTTATTTGGAAAAAAAAAACAAGTAAAAACAATGTGTCTTTTCACATTTTTTTATATTTTAAATAAGATAAAGTTTAATAAGATTTTAGCT